CTATCACATATCACAGGAAATCCACTTATGAAAAGATTTCTCGGGAGCCAGGGATTTGGCTCAGTGGGCACGGAGACTGCCTTGCAAGCACAAGGTCCTGAGTTTGATCCCCGGTATAAAAAAAAAAAGATTTCTCAGACCAGGGATTTAGCTCAGTGGTGCTGCGTCTGCCTCAAAAGCGTAAGGTCCTGAGTTCAATCCCCAGTACCAAAAGAAAAAAAGAAAATTTCTCCCTTGTCATGGTGGGCTTGGTGGTGCATGCCTTGTAATCTCAGCACTCAGGAGGCTGAAGCAGGAGGATCACTGTGAGTTTGAGGGCTAAAAAAAAAAAAAAAAAAGATTTCTGAAAATTAGCCCGGTTGTCTTTGAAATCAGTATGCAAGAGCAAAATACTGAAATATGTAGTCTGTCTGCCAGAGATGCAACTACATAGTACGGCGTAACGGCCAGGCGGGTTAAGGGGACTCTGGGATGATCCGGATCACACTGACCGCATAAACTTCGGCAGCATCAGAGACTTTAGTGGGTTACCTACTCTGAGTTGCAGTCGGCCATCTGTGGGGCATCTGCTGGGGTTGGGAGTGTGTTTTCTGTCTTATCCAGGCAGGACCTTGTAAGCCAGGCAAGGGGGGAGAGGGTACCGTGGGTGTAGAACAGCAGTGCGGCAGCGTTGATCTTCCGGATGATGACTCTTACACCTGACCAAGGGACAGAGGGATGAGTCAGTAAGTAAATGATCATAACCCTCCGCCACTCCCCAAACTGACCTCCCACTTGAGGCCATTTGTAAACAGCCCAAAGGGAGCAGCAGTTCCTTGTGGATTCCGTAAATGTGACTGGAGCTTGGCTGAAGACAGAGTCAGAGAGAGGCCAAGGGCAGGGACCATTCGGGTGGGAGTCGGGGTCAGGAGCCCAGGGCAAGGGCACTGGCTCTGCCCGCTGAGCCCCAGCCTGTGTGGGTTTTCTCTCCCCCTGTACCTCTTGGCATTCTTTGGGAGGGCTCACAGAGGAGGCCCGTGAAATCAGACAGACCCCGGCTTGAGTTCTACCCAGGATGCTTGTCACGTTAGCCTTGTGAACTCTGGAGGGGTCTCTGCTCCATTCCGAACCCCGTCTTCTCTGTAGCAAGTTCCCATCGCCTGCACCGTCCTTCCCGGATTACAGGTCTGAGGATTAAATGAGTTCACTCACGCAAGCACGGAGTGCGCTGTCATTTTTGCTGTTATTCAATGAAACGGTCTCTGAAGCCAGCCTCACCCTCCCCGGTCCCCTTTCCCGGGTACCCCACACTACTGGACTTCGCTGGCAGGCGCTGGGGCCCACGCACGACAACTCCCACATCTTCGGCTTCGCCGCTCCACCACCCTCCCTCCCACCTTCTCTGATGGCAGGAACAGAGATGTCATTGAGAGCCTGCCGCCTGGGATGAGGCAAGATCTGCCCCGGGATCGCTCACTCTTCTCCCAGCAAGAGGAGGAACTGGGTCCACCCCAGACAGAGCCTGCACCGGGAGCTCAGAACCCAGGAGGTCACCCCTGAGGGACCTGCGGAGGAGCCTGGGTCCTGTGACCGCGGCTGGCAGCATCTCTGGTCAGTGCTTGTGCTCGCATGTTTGTGTGCGTGGATGCTTGCGGTGACTGGGGCGTCTCAGGGGCCAGGTGGCACGGGCTTTGCAGTTTGCAAGACCTAGGTTCAAATGTCAGCTGTGCAGGCTGCACGCTGCACGGTGACGGAGGGGGAGCATTACGACCCCAAGTGTCGGAGTCTGCACTAAAAATGAAGGGAGGGTCGGGGATTTAGCTCAGCGCCTGCCTCGAAAGCACAAGGAGCCAAGTTCGATCCCTGGTACCAAAAAGAAAAAAAAAAAGTAATAAAATGAAGGGAAAGGAAACCCTGTCTTAAAGGCGTTTTGCTAACTGGTTAAGAAATATCTGGCACAAGGTCATGGCAGGTGACAGCTGTTTTGTTGTTGGCTTGTTTTTGGTGTGCATATTGGGTTAACCACGGATATATCCCTTTGGGTTATATAATGATCGTGTCACATCTCTCTCACTAAGTGACCTTTGGTCAGTGCCCATCTACGTATGTTTCTGTTTTAAAAAGGAATTACAAAGCCAGGCATAAAGGTGGCACATACCTGTAAGCCCAGCACTCAGGAGGCTGAGGCAGGAGGACCACCATGAATTCAAGGCCATCTTGGACTACACAGTGAATTCAAGGCCAGCCTGAACCACATAGCAAGACCCTGTCTCAAAAAAAAAAGAACAAGAATGTGGGGCTGGGGGTTTGGTACCCACCCCCCAAAAAAAAACTATTACAAGAATATGGGCAAAAGATTTAGCTCAGTGGCACTGCACCTGCCTCACAAGGGCAAGGTCCTCAGTTCAATACCAGTCCCGGCTTCATCTCATTTTTTTAAAGTAAAGAATTCATGCCGGTGTGGTGGTATACACCCATAATCTCCACCTAGGAGGCTGAGTATAAAGTATTAACTAAAAAAACAAAAAGAGCAGGGCCCGGGGATTTAGCTCAGGGGTGCTGCTACCCACCTTGCAAGCACAAGGTCCCAAGTTTGATCCCAGTATAAAAAAATAGCAGGGTTATAGTTCAACATAGAAGACCCGAGTTCAATCCCGAGTCCGCCAAACGAACAAACAAGAACCCCGATGAAAATATAACTAAATATTTGTTAAGCCTGACTGATAGATGCATGGACTGCTATTGAATATTAATATTATAATTTTAACGTTCTTAGCCAATTATGGTGGCACAATCCATAATCCCAGCACTTTGGGAAGCTGAGGCAGAAGGATCCCAACCTGGGAAAATTAGTGAAACTATGTCTCAAAATAAAAATATTAAAAGGGGCCAGGAGGTTGGGGGTTTAGCTGAGTAGTGCCACCACCTGCCTCAAAAATGCAAGGTCTTGAGTTCAATCCCCAGTACAAAAAAAAGGGGGTGGGGGGACAGGCGTGGTGGCACATCCCTGTAATCCCAGCACTCAAGAGGCTGAGGCAGGAGGAGCACTGTGAGTTCAAGGCCAGCCTGAAGTACATAGTGAGACCCTGTCTCAAAAAAACAAAACAAAACAAAAAACACCTTACCCCAGAAAGAATGGCTGCTATCAAGAAATCAACCAATAACAAATGCTGGCGGGGCTGTGGGGAGAAAGGAACCCTTCTCCATTGTTGGTGGGAGTGCAGACTGGTGCAACCACTGTGGAAATCAATATGGAAACACCTCAAAGAGCTGGGCCTAGAGGTTCCATTTGACCCAGTCATCCCTCTGCTGGGTATCTTTCCAAAAGAATTAAAAGAATCATATCACATCGATATATGCGCACCCATGTTTATAGTGGCACAGTTGTAATAGCTAAAACTTGGAAACAGCCCATTTGCCCATCATTTGGAGACTGGATAAAGAAGAGGTGGTTTTTCTATAAAATGGAGTACTACTCAGCCATAAAGAATGAGAAACTAGAAACATTTATAGCTAAATGGATGCACATTGAGGCCATACTCTTAAGTGAAGCAAATAGAACACACTTGAGAAAATACCAAATAGTTTCTCTGGTGTGAAAAACTAAATGTTCAAATGGTATAATTGGGAGTGTGAAATAGGAAGAAAATGGTTTTAGGGGAAGTGGGAAGGGGAGGGGAAAGGAAATAAGGAAAAAGAAAAAATGTGAAAAAAATGGAAACAAAGTCTTTGTAAACAGAGAAGGGAAGGGTGAAGTGGGTGAAGAGAGGGCAGGGGTATGGAGAAAAAATGAGAACCAGGGCACATCATGTAAAGGCACAAGAGCCCAACGATGAATGTAACCGTATTGTTTGCTTTAAATGTACCGATAAACTTAATGAAAAACAAAACAAAGCAAAAAAAAAAAAACCCAAAATAAATACAAATATTAAAAGGGTTGGGGATATAGCCTATCGTATTGTTTGCTTTAAATGTACCGATAAACTTAATGAAAAACAAAACAAAGCAAAAAAAAAAACCCAAAATAAATACAAATATTAAAAGGGTTGGGGATATAGCCTGAATCCACAGTACTAAACATTTTTTCTTACCGTTAAGACAGTGGGGGACGGGGATTTAGCTCAATGTTTCCAATGCCTGCTTCAAAAGTGCAAGGTCCCAAGTTTGACCCCCATACCAAAAAAAAAAGCAAGACAGTGGGGAGCCCAGAAGGCCAGGCAGGTAGACAGGTTTGCAGGTGTGAAGAGGTCAGGTTTTTATTTTATTTAAGAAAAAATGAATTTTTTGATACAAGGAATCGAACTCAGGACCTCGCACTTGAGAGGCAGGCAGCAGAACCACTGAGCTAAATCCCCAGCCCTTTATTTTATTTTATTTAAAAATAAAATAAATATATGCACAAATATTTTGTGACGTATAGACTGCCTCTTCTCCAGAAGATGGAGCAGCTGTGCCGAGGCCTCACGATGTCTCGAGTTACCACAGGCCTGGATAATGCTCTTGACATAGACGCCGCCACCGCCATGGGCTTCCATGTTGTCTGCAGCTGCAGGGAAAGTGTACCCGAGATGGTGGTTCATAGCCAGGAATGGTGCCACGCACCTGGGAGGCTGAGGCAGAAAGATCATTTGAGTGCAGGAGTTGTAACATAGCAAGACTCTGAATTGAAAAAAAAAAATCTGTTTTTCTTTCTTTTTCTCTTAATCCCTGTAGTTAAGAGCAATTACTTATAATTGTCGTGTAACTGCTATATATATAACTCTTGGTGGAGGACCCCAACACTTCCTTGTGGTAGCATGACATTGCATTAACCACACATTCGCTGGTTCACCCCTCCAGTATAATATTGTAGGATTCGGATTTTCTTTCTTTCTTTCTTTCTTTTCTGAGACAGATTCTCACTACGTTGCCCAGGCTCGTCTCGAATTCCTGAGCTCAAGCCATCCTCCTGCCTCAGCCTCCTCCAGCATTATAGGTGCACACAATGGCATGGTTTAGGATTGTGAGTTTTTTGTGGGTTTTTTTGTTTTGTTTTGTTTTGTTTTGAGACAGGGTCACTATGTAGTTGAGACTGATCTGGAACTCACTATGTAGCCCGGGCTGGTCTCGAACTCAGTGATCCTCCTGCCTCAGCCTTCCCAGTGCTGGGATTACAGGTGTGCGCCACCACGCCCGGCTCAGGATTGTGAGTTTTGATTCCTCATAGTGTCAAGGGGGCAAAGGTACTGGTACACTTGGAGTGTTTGAGTCTAAGCCCTCCCTCGTCTTGGTCAACTCATTCCACCATCCTCAGCTTCAGCAGCAAAACGTGAGTGATGGCTGCTTCTCAGCGACTGAGAGGCCTGAATGAGACAGGTGGATGATGCGCCGACCCCCACCGAGGACTCTGTGCTTTTGTTCTTTTCCTTCTTGTGCCCCAACGATGTCCATCCCTCACGGTGTAGGCAGAGGGGCTTTCCCAGTACATTGCACACAGCCCAGGTGAAATTCTATCAGGAAGGCTTGGGGCTCCGCCTAGCTTTGGGGACTTCGCTTTCATCAGCAACATAGCAAACGGAACCTTAGCTCGCTGGGTTTCTAGATCAGATGAGCCATTTTGGAAGGCAGCTGTCCTCACCACTACACCACCGACGCAGACGAGCTGAGCCATCTCGTAGGAACTGGGTGAATACAGTATACACCCCCTGTGAAGCCGCGGTTCGCAGCCTCAGTCCTTGGAGGATTTTTCCTTGGAACCTAACAATAATTGTTTATGAAAACCCCGGCAATTTCACAGAAACCGCAAATACCCTTCGCGGTTGGGGGCGGGGCTGGAGGTTCGCAAGTAACCGATTCGAGAGCGTTAAATTCTCCTCGCTGCTGATTAGCTGCTGCCCTGTAACCATCTCTGGTGCACCCCGCACTCCTCCGCCGCACTAGCCATCTTCAGTTTTCTCGGTTTTGTCCTTCTTAAAGCCCTAGGATCCTTAAGATGCAACCCAAACACTCTGCACCTTCTCAGGGTTTATTAATAGAGTATCTTATTAGATTAAATTACCTGACTGCAGGATATTTAGGGTTTAAACTATGAAAATATTTAGGGTTTGGCCGGGCGTGGTGGTGCAAGCCTGTAATCCCAGCACTCAGGAGGCTGAGGCAGGAGGATCGCTGTGAGCTCGAGACCAGCCTGGGCTGCATAGTGAGTTCCAGGTCAGTCTCAACTACGTAGTGAGACCCTGTCTCAAAACAAACAAACAAAAAAATTTAGGGTTTAAACTAGAGGGCAGAGGTAAAGGGAAAAAAATAAGAATCAAGACTTGTCATGTAGAGGTACAAGATCCTACTGTATCCCTAAAATGTACCAATAAACTCAATTAAAGCTGAAAAAAAAAACTATGAAAATAGGCACTTTTCTGAGCATATCTGAAATTCAAGATTTTTCACAATTCGCAGCTGCTCTAGGAACATAACCGCTGTGAATTTCAGGGGTCCATTGTACTGTTGAATGGAGCTAAAAATGAAGTTCCTTGGAAATCTTGGGTATCATTTGTAATCTCCCCCCACCCCAGTATTTAGTCATGGACCTCACATTTACTTGCTGTCAAGAACAAACTGCATGTGTGACTATTCCAGTCATCCAAAGACCAAAAGAGGTGTCGTACAGGAATAATAAGGTTTACTCTGGTTTTAAGCAAAATTTCTTCTTTCTTCTCACCAGGGTCAAGATGACCACACCTACCGTTTTGGGGGACACCACCTTTCCGTTGAACATGACCACGCGGGGGGAAGACTTCCTCTATAAGAGTAAGGTCAACATGGCTTGAAGGCAGGGGAAGGTGGGCGGGAGAAGTGTCAGGGTCCACTTGGGTCCTGGAGACAGAGTGCAGGCTCTCCGTGCTGACCCAGGTCCAGCACTTGCCCACTGCGTGGCCCTGAACACAAGATTTCTGTGCACTGGGCCTCAGTTTCCTCATCTATGAGATGAGGATATTCATGAAGCTGCCACGTAAAATAGCTGTCTGAATCGAACTTGAAGAGATCACTAATTCATGTAAAGACCTTAGAACAGCCCTATGGCCTCGGTGTGTACTCAGTACCTAACGGCACCATTCTTAGAGACCCTGCTACGGCTGTTACTCTTACTTTTACTGTGGAGTCTTGGGGTCTAGAGGTCAATGGGAATTTGAACCTCCTTTAAGATGTCTCTAAATAGGTCCCTATGCAATATCACTCCTTTCATACTATTTTTGCAGGGCAGAACACCTTCCCATCACCTTATAAATTAGAAATGATCTCTTGGGGAGATATTTGCCAGGAACAAAGACATTTCGAATGAAAAACTTGAAGACAGCTATGCAGAAAACAAACTGACTATATAGGGAGGGAGATGGTTGGGTGCCTTTCTCCCCTCTCCCCCAGCCCCAGACTCTTTACCTTTGGGTGGCCAGATTAAGGGCAGGAGACCAGTCACCTTCCGTGGAGACCCAGCAGGGTGGCTCTCAGGACAGGGCACACCGGGCTATCCTGCCCCCACCAAGATCCAGGCAGCTCTGAGGGGCGGTCCGGGATGGGACAGCAACTGTCAACCAGGTGGGAGTAACTGTTTTTACTTTACCAAAAGTAATGGCTTTTCACTGGGCTATTGCACCCTCCTGAGTAGGGCTACCAAACTTCGCAAATAACTGGCATTTTAGAAAGGCTTATATACATTCACAAAAGTGCCCAAATCATAAGGCGGGTAAGTTGTCACCAGGTGCACACAGACTGATGTCACCAGCCCTGTGCCAGGGAGCAGAACTCATTATGGAACCCAGGCTGACTTGAAATTCACCATGTCCCTCCTGCCTCAGCCTCCACAATGCTGGGATTATAGATGTGCGTCACTATATCTGGCTTATTTGCTTAACTCTTACATGCAGTACTATAATGATAGCACAACATAAAACTACAGTACTGCACTATGCAGTATAATCAGCAAAAACTACAGTACTATATAAACAAGGTATACTGTATTCCCCCACAAGATGTACAGAACTGTACTAAAAAAAAAAGTGGGTCATACATCCAAACAGCATCCCTTGGTTGTTAAATTGGTACATCATTAAGTGAGGACTATTTGTACTTGCTCTTTCTTTCTTTCTGTTTTCTTTTTGTACTGAGGATCAAACTCAGGACCTTGTGCTTTGAAGGAAGGCAGGGCGCCGCTGAGCTAAATCCCCAGCCCCATCTGTATCTGCTTAGCATGCACAAGACCTTGGGTTCAATCCCCAGGACTGCAAAAAGAAAAAGAAAACAGAAAGTCATGAAGGAAAAGGCAATTACATGGAAACATGGTTATGAGCTCAGTATAAAATAGTGTGTGGAAGATGGTTATATTTTTACCAAGTACCTATTTTCCACATTTAGGAATATTTTCTCAGGACGGACTTTTCAGACATAGGATTAATAAGTTATTTTACAAATATTAATAGACATTTAATATGCAAACATAACTTGTATTAGCAAAACTAAGGAGCGGCTGGGGATGCAGCTCAGGGACACCGGGCCTGCCTTGAAAACACAAGGTCCTGAGTTTGATCCCTGGTACAGGAAAACAAAAACAAAAAAAACAAAAAACAAGGAGGCTGCCCAAGATGGTGCGCACCTGTAATTCCAGCACTCTGGAGGCTGAGGCAGTAAAAGTATTGCCAGTTCGAGGCCAGCCTGGACCGTATAGTAAGGCCCTGTCTCAAAACAGACAAAAGCAGGGCAGCGATTCGCTTGTCCATTTGAAGCTTTGCTGGGGCCGATGGGAATGGAGCTCCTCCTAGGACAGAGTTTGGCAGATGCCAGGCGAGCCCATCTGGTGGGTGAGGGGTGCGTGGCCACTGCTGAGGGGCCACGGACCCGGTCATCAGCAAGGCTCCTCCTTCCCCTGACTGGTGGGGTCCCCAGGCGCCGTCCTGGGCCCCATTCAGCCTACACATGCGCCCTCCTGGGCTGTCCCCTCTAGGTGCCGGAGCCGTTGTCGCTGCGGTCGTGGTGGTCGTCCTCGTCATCTTCACCGCGGTTGTGATCCTGCTGAAGATGTACAACAGGTACGGGCGCCCCGGGCTCTGGAGCTGCCTGGTCCTCTCATTTGGAGACAGGCCCAGGAAGTGGAAGTCCCAGGCCACGGGTTGCGCAGCCCTCATTAGCAGAGCTGGGATTTAAACCCAGTCTATCTGGTTTCAAAGAAAATGCTCCCACTGTTACATGTAGTAATAATAATAATAACAGTAACATTAAACACGATTTTTCAAATCTTTAGGATTTTATTTGGGTCTTTCCCAAACCAGGAAGGCATCAAACCCAAATGTCTGCCTTCGTTGCACTACGTCATTGCTAGAGCTCTGAACCCCTTTGCGAGGCTGTAGTCTGGGAGAAGACCCCACGCACCTCACACTGCTTGCACTGGTACCTGGGCTCAGAACTGAGATGCCAGGGTTCTGCCTTGGGTCTTTCAAAACCTGATAAATTATTTATTCTGTCTCAATTTTGTCACTCTTACAATGGAAGGGCCATGGTGGCTCACACCTATAATCCCAGCCCTCAGGAGGCTGAGTCAGGAGAACGCTGCCCCCCCCAAGATTGAGGCCAGCCTGGACTACATAGTGAGTTCAAGGCCAGCCTGGACTGTATAATGAGACCCTGTCTCAAAGAAGAAGAAAATAAAACAGTGGAAGGCCTGGAAATGTGATGACTGCATTATGAATATATTGGAGACGCCCTTGTTCTTAAGAGTATATAGGAATAAAGTAGCTTCTAGTTTACAGATGGTTCGGGATTTTTTTAAAAAACTTTGCCTGCATGAGTATAGTAGACGACACTTATAATCTCAGCTACTCAGGAGGTTGAAGCAGGAGGATCACAAGTTCAAGGACATTCTGGGCAATTTAGCAAGATTTTGTCTCAAAAAAAATTGTTTTAAAAACTGGGGATATAGCTCAGCACTCCCTGGGTCCAATCTCCAGTAAAAAAAAAAAAACAACAAAACTGTGTGTTTATGCATGCGTGCATGACAAGGGAGAGGGAGAGAGCAGGAGAACTTAACAATTGGTTGAATTGTTCAGTGAAGGATTTGGGGTATTAATTGAACTATTTGTGCAACTTCTTTGAGAATTTGAAGTTTTTAAGAAAAAGACCTGCCTGGGGTGGGGCGTGGCGGCCCACACCTGTAGTCCCAGCACTCGGGAGGCTGAAGCAGGAGGATCGCCGTGGTCAAGCACAGTAGAATTTGAAGTTTTTAAGAAAAAGACCTGCCTGGGGTGGGGCGTGGCGGCCCACACCTGTAGTCCCAGCACTCGGGAGGCTGAAGCAGGAGGATCGCTGTGAGTTCAAGACCAGCCTGGGCTGCATAGTGAGTTCCAGATCAGTCTCAACTACATAGTGAGACCCTGTCTCAAAAAACAGAAAACAAAAAACCCTGCCTGGGAAGCACAAGGACCCGAGTTTGATCCCTGGTACCAAAAAAAAAAAAAAGTGCCAAAGGGGGAGAAGAATTATGATATGGTAATAAGGTGAAATATGCAGTCATTAGAATTCATAATTGTTAGTTATGGTGTATGAAAAATGAAGACAGGATACATGGGTTTTTTTGGTTTTTTTGAGACAGTTTCACTATATAGTTGAGACTGACCTGGAACTCATTGTGTAGCCCAGGCTGATCTCGAACTCACAGCGATCCTCCGGCCTCAGCCTCCCAGGTGCTGGGACTACAGGCATGCACCACCACGCCCAGCTGACAGGACACATGTTTTAAGTACATGGCTCCTCAACTCTGTAAAAAGCTCTTAAATATTTCTAGCAATAAATCTAAAAAGCATAATTATCCTGCAAACTTTAACTCGCACTAAAACTTTTAACAGAAAATACGTACTGTGATATTTTCATTTTGTCTTTAATATAGCCATTTATCGGAAAGTGTACTTATTCATTGATAGGAACAAATAAAATTAAATGTATTTTTTAAATTAAATATCTAAGCTAAGCTAAACCAAAAATCTAGTTGATGTCTGAGTTCTCTTCCGGTGGTAAAATTCCATGGCTGGCAGTTAAGCAGTGAGTTCACGGTGATCTGCATTCATCTCTTTGACACGGAGCCCTTTCCCCACGGCAGGGGAGGGAGGAAACTCAACCCTGTGTGTCTGTGTCATTACAGGAAGATGAGGACAAGGCGTGAGCTGGAGCCCAAGGGCCCCAAGCCAGTTGCTCCTTCTGCCATGGACCCAAACAGCAACAGCTGCCAGCGGCCCACAACGGTGGCCTTCAGCCCTGTTGACCTCCACGCAGAGACTCGGTGACTCCTGTCGCCGCCACCCTCCCTGCCACTGTCCGAAGAGCTTTCTCCAGAGCGGAGACCCGGAAGCACATCCTCTGGTGGCCTCGCTATGCGTTCCTTCCGGTCAGGCCATCAGCCATCTTTCATAAAGTCCCCAAGGCTTCAGGCAGTCCTTAACTTGTCCCGCCCTGCCCCACCCTGACTGTGTCCGCGTCCCTGCTGCCACCCTCTTGAGAAGCTGCGGAACATGATTGCATTACCCCGATGAGGCAGAGTTCTGCTGCAAATCCGCTGACATGGGTCGGGCTGTCTCCTCACAAATGTAGCTAGACAGAGACAAGCGTGCAGGCAGGCGGCGGACAGACATGGAGTCCTGACTCTGGGACTCAGGGAACGTGTCTGCCACTGGGCGCATCTCAGATTAAATGCCAAATCTACAGCTTTGCAGAGCGAAACACTCACCCCCGTGATCGGGTGCAAGGAAACTTAGACTAACCAGAAAGCCAACCTGCCAGTTTATAACTGCTTCCAGTACTAGGTGATTGTTAGACGACCGGAGGTTAGTCCACGCCTTTCTCCCCCCTTTAAGAAAAGTTACAAGAAAAATGGAGAGGTTTCTGCTTCATTAGTGAAGGGTCAGTAGAAGGCACAGGGTGACCTTGAGAATGGTGGCCCCTAGGACAAAAGCTCGCTGCATTGTTGTGAGCCTCGACTGACCCTGGTAGCTGGTCAGGGCGCCTCCTGTCCTTCCTTCTGGGAGGTCGGACCCTGCCTCAGTCTCATTTCTTGGCTCCCCAAGAAGCTCCGACAGTCTTGCTAACCCTTCCCCTCCCAGAACCAGTATTCAGAGACTGGTTACACGGTAGCTCTCTTGTCTGTCTCTGACCCTCCTGGTCACCTTGCAGAGACTTTAGACAACACGTTCCCAGACCACATCTATCAAGAGCTGAGCTCTGACTCCCAGGCTGGAGACAAGCCTACTGGTAAGGGGAACATTCTGGAGTTAAGGAGTCTTGCCTTCGAGCCCTACTTTCTGGTGTGTGGCCCTGGGCGAGTGACTCAGTCTTTCCACCTGCGGTTTCTAACCATGAAGTGGAAAATGGCAGCATTTGCCTCCCTGAGTTATTCTGAGTCAAGGACTGCGTAAGACTTTGCGTATGATGCCTGGTGCCAGAAGATGCTTAGAAAATGGCAGCGCGCATTGTGCAAAGGCCCTGGGTTCAGTGCCCAGGATAAACAAACAAAGCACAACTCCCTTGAATAGCTCTGGAGAAGCCGGGTGTGGTGGCCCACACCTGTAATCCCAGCACTCGGGAGGCTGAGGCAGGAGGATCGTTGAGTTTGAGACCTACATAGAGAGTTCCAAGTCAGTCTCAACTACATAGTGAGACCCTGTCTCAAAATAACAAAAACAACAACAAAATAGCTCCGGAGAAATATTAGTAAATTCTCCCTTCCTCCTCCTCCATCTTCTCTTCTTTCTGTGCTTAAATTTCACCAAGTACCAGGCACTCCGAAAGGTGCTTTCACATCAGTTAGCTCACAGGATTTGACCTCCCCAATAACCGTGGGAGGGATTATTTCCCATTCACAGAGGAGAATTTTCAAACCAGGAAGCATAAATCCTTGCCCAGAGTCATACACACAGCTGCTAAGTGGCAAAGACGAGACACAACCAGTTTTCACTGAACCCAGAGTCCAACTTTCTGTCACATCACTCTTCCCTGCCATCCTGGGCTTTTAAAAAAAAAAAGCACCGGTTCCTTTGTAAACTGAACAAAAAGAACAGCCTTGTCCAGGAGTTTGTGTGGTGGGCGGAGATCTGGCTTCCGAACTGACAGTGGGGGTGCAGCTGCTTTGGCGCCATCCTTTGGGCTTCCCTGATCAGAGCCACGGAAGCCGTTGCTCAGCCCACCCAGGAGGGGCTCCTGCTTCACCTACTGCCTGGGGCCCCAGGGGAAAGGGCTTGGGGACCGGGGCGCATCTGTTTCTTTGAGGGCTCAAACCCCCAACATAGACATCCCCAGACACATTTTCTGCTCTTTTCTTTTTTTTTTTTTTTTTTCTAAAATTGTCTAGAATGTTCTAGGCTTCTCTGCCCACAGTAAAAGGATTTTTGTGTCTTTTTATTAAAGAAGGCAACTCAATGAACGGCCTGCAGGGGCTCTCAGGGGGCAGCTGAGGCGCTGCTACAGGCGCGCAGACCTGTGTCTGCCCCGCAGGAGCCGGCGGGCCTCCGGGCGGGTGTAACGCGCTAAGCCTTTTGTTTCTGACCAGGTGCTTTTCTTAACTGAGCAGATGCGCCCTCATCTGGCCGCCGAATCCGTGAAACATAGTAAACACTTAGAGAAAAACGTTTAAAAATAAAAGCGGTTTAAATCAGATATGTGTTGCATTGATTTCAACTAAATTTAGAGCTAACAGACAACTTTTCTAAACACTTCCTTTTCCTGACAATGTAAGCAGGCCCTGTGCAGTACCCTGTGTCTTCGTGAGCACTGTGATTTCTTTCTTTTTTTTTTTTTTTTTTTTTTTTTTTTGTTGTTACCGGGGATCAAATTCAGGACCTTGTGCTTGCCAGGCAGGCTAAATCCCCAGCCCCACGCTGTGTGATTTCTAAAGGCTCAGGGCCAAGGTGTGCTGCTGCCCACAGAGCTCGCTGTGTATTAGAAACCGTGTTCACCGGGCCGGGGATTTAACTGGGTGCTTCCACGGCCTGCCGCGCAGCCTCAAGGACCTGAGTTCGATCCCCAGTACCAAAAAAAAAACAAAAAACGAGATGTTGAGATGTCGAGGTATGAGGACATCTGGGACCATAAGCGCATGAACTTCAAATTACCAATAATTATGTTTATCACGAACTACAAGGAAGTTCCTACTCTACCAGGCATGGCAGGCCCTTTATACCCCGGAGCTCCCGTGACCCTTTAGAACCCCACCAGTAGGGACCATCACTGTCTCTGTTTTGTGGATGAGGAAACAGGTTCAGGGAGGTAACCTGGTGACGCAAGGAACAGTTTTCATTCTTTTGGTGACCACTTCCGTGTTTAGGGAATCCTTTGCTTGAGGAATCAAGGCCACCTAGGGGCTGGGGATTTAGCTCAGTGGTTCTGCATCCTGCCTCACAAATGCAAGATCCCGAGTTTGATCTCCTTTACCAAGAAAAAGAAAAAAGGCAGGTAAGAATCAAGACCACCTTATGCTATGAAAGCTAAAACAAAACAAAACTAGAAGAATGGATAGGATTTTAAAAGTTTTTTGGGGTGTGGTTTTTTTTTTTTTTTTTTGGTTTTTTGAGACAGGGTCTCACTATGTAGTTGAGTCTGACCTGGAACTCACTATGTAGCCCAGGCTGGTCTCAACTCCCAGGGATCCTCCTGCCTCAGCCTCCCGAGTGCTGGGATTACAGGTATGTGCCACCATGCCCGGCAAGTTGTTTTTTTTTTTTAATATCAAAGTACAACACAGATACGCAGAGCTTAAGATATTCATACTTTAACATTTTTTCACGAAGTGATCACACCCATATAACCAACATGAAGATAAAAGAAATAAAACATTACTCCACCCCAGAGGCCTCCCTCCCTCTTCCTCCTTTTACTCTGCTCTCCTCCCACAAAGGTTAACCACCATCCTGACTTCAAACACCCTGAATCCTATTCTACTGATCTATATTTCTACTCCTATGCCACTTATTACACTTGTTGATTAATAGCACATTTTAAAATCAGAAAGTGTAACTCCTTCTACTTCGTTCTGTCCTGTAGCCTTGTTTCTCTTTCTAAAAATACTTTAGGCTATTTGGGTCTGTGTATCTCTGTATGAATTTTAGTATCAGATTTGCAATTTTTAAAAAAGGCAACCAGGATTTTGATAGGGATTGAGTGAAATCTATTGTTTAATTTAGTTTTACCATCTTAAGCTTTTTTTTTTTTTTTTTTTTTTTTTTTTTGTGGTACCAGGAATCAAACTCAGGACCTTGAATTTGTGAGGCAGGCAGCAGCACCGCTGAGCTAAATCCCTGGCCCTTAAATGAAATTTTCTTCATTTCCTCTTCAAATTATCCATTGCTAGTATAGAGAATGTAATTTGTTGAATTCATTAGCTCCCACTGGTTTTGGGAGGAATTATGGGGTCTTTAGAGTTTCTCCATTGATCATATCTTCTATCTTTGCCTAATTTCTCTGCTCGTAACTTCCAGCACTGTGTTGAAAATAACCATGCTTGTCTTCCCTGATTTCAGGGGAAGGCAGGTCTCTCACTGCCAAGTATAATATTAGCAATGAGCTCCGTATTCAGTTAGAGAAGTTCAGTTCTATTTCTAGTTTAAGAGTTTTTATCAGAAAAGGGCACTGGATTTTATGAAATACTTTTTTCTGCATCCATTAAGAAAATAATCACATGGCTTATGTCCTTTGTCCTTTATTCTTCCAATATGATATATTACACAGACTGATTTTCACAGGTCCTGAGTCTTTTTTTTTTTTTTTTTTGAGACAGGATCCTTATACTCGTGGCAACCCTACTGCGTTGGGCTCCTGAGTTCTGGGATTACAGGCATGTACCTCCCCACACCTGGTTTTCATATCTATGTCCATAAACTATAGTGGTCTGTAGTTAGGTTTTTTTGCCTTTTTTTGGACCAGAAATCCAAAACAGGTCCTTTCACTTTTGAGGCAGCCACAGTGCCACTGAGCTAAATCCCTGGCCCTGTACTTTTATTTTCTTTTGATGTTTTTGTCTGATTTGGGTTTCAGAGTAATACTGACTTCCTAGAGTAAGCTGGGAAGTGTTCCTGCCTCTTGTAATTTTTGGTGTTAACTTTAAATGTTTGACAGAATTTACCAGTGCTGCCACCTGGATCTGGGCTTTTCTTTTGTTGTTTATTACTTTTGTTGTTTTAAGTAAAATTATAATTCAAGACATTGTTATAGGTCTATTCACATTTTCTATTTCTTCTTAAATTGGTTTTGGTGATCTATGCCTTTTTAGGAATTTGTCCATTTTGTCTAACGTAGCATTCAATTTTTCAGTGTTTCTGTACAATCCTTTTTATTTCTAAAATATTGGTAGAGATGCTCCCTCTTTTTTTTTTTTTTTTAAAGACAGAGTCTTACTTTGTAGCTCAAACTGGCCTTGAACTTGTGGCAATCCTCCTGTCTCAGCCTACTTAGTGCTGGGATTACAGGCATATACCAGCATACCCAGCTCCCTTTTGCTTGTTTGTTTTTTGAGACAGGGTCTCACTATGTAGTTGAGACTGACCTGGAACTCACTATGTAGCCCAGGCTGGTCTCCAACTTACAGCGATCTTCCTGCCTCAGCCTCCTAAGTGCTGGTATTACAGATGTGCACCACCATGCCTGGCAACAAATTAACCTAGACTTTTTTTTTTTTTTTTTTTGGTACAAGGGATTGAATTTGGGACCTTGTGCTTGCAAGGCAGGTGGCAGCATCACTGAGCTAAATCCCCAGCCCCTATAATTTAATTGTGAAATGATTTTCCCCCAAAATCATATAGAATCTCAGATGGCCTGATAGGCCCTAACCTGAGGTGCATCAACCCCGCCTGTCCAGTGCAGTTCCCCCTGGCAGCCTGCGGCTACTGGGCCCGTGGGATATGGGGCTTCCTGACTGTGTCATGAGCGTAAAGTGAAAACTGAGCTTTTGAGGACTTAATTTGGAAAAAGGAATGTAAAACATCCCATTAATAATCTTTATATCAGCTACATGTTGAAATGATCGGAGAACATTTGGTTAAATGCCGGGAACTGTGCGTTGATTGTCCCCATCCATTTGTTGGTGTGTTTACCACATGGCTCTGTGTGTCTCTAGCAGAATGAAAACATCATATGTTTCTTAACCTCACAGAAACGCTGGGGTGATGGGTTCATTCTTCTGGCTGTTGCTTGGGGGTTTTATTTCACTCAACATTGTATTTTTTAGATTTATCCTTGTTAAAAAAATAAAATGATTCCTTTTCTTCATAAAGCACCACTTGTTGGGAAGATGATCTTTTCCCTGCTTTACTTGGGGTCATTCTACCATAATTGCCTCTATCTGTGTACTTGGGCCAGAAATGATAGCAGAAAGAAAAGCAGGAGTCAAACTTGTATGAAGCCTGGACCGGGAAAGACAAACCCACTCAAAAGAGATGGAGGAAAGCTTTATTTGACTGGCCAGCCCAATGGAGCTAAGTCCCCCCTCCATAACGACCTGGGTCCCAAAATTAAAGAAAAGGGTGGGGGGAGTTTTACACAATAGTTTAAATTGGAGTAGAACAGGATAGTCACATAGCATAGCACAGGGCCGGGGATTTAGCTCAGTGGTTCCACCGT